GAGGCGCCGCACGGAGCTCGAGCCCTCGCGGCCCTCCAATAGTTCGAAGTCGTAGAGCGTGATCTCGCCGTCCGCGTCCGTGTCGACGCCTGGGCGGGAAACGAAATATTCAACACGACTTCAATGTGAGCTTATTCGACAGTTTCGACGCGAGGCTTTCTGCCGTGCTTCGAGAACTCGACGAGAGCGATCGATTCGTCCACAAAGTAGCCGAAACGACTTCGATTTGACCGAGCTGGAGAGGTTTGAAGTTTGGCTGGACAGGGCCATGCCACTGGTTGATTTCGGCACAGGTCGACGCCGGCGAAGACCTCCTCGACCCAGACCTCCATCTCCGTCGCCGCGATGTGGGCGCAGAAGCTCGTGTACTTCTCGCGCTCGCTCTCGTCGTCGTCCATGAGCTTGGCCATGTACGCCTCCTCGGCCGCGAGGCGCGCCTTCGACTTCGTCATGGCCTTCCAGCTCCTCCCGTCGGTCCCCAGGGCCGCGGCCTCGGCCTCCTTCTTCGCCGCGTGCTCCTTCTTCAGGTCGCGGATACTCTGGCGGCTGCCCGCGCCGGGCTTCTTGTTCTTGCCCGCCTCGCGGCGCTGCTGCGCCGCGGCCTCGCGCTCCTTGCGCACGCGGTCCCGCTCGGCGATCTGCGCCTCCCGCGCCTTGGCCAGGAGCTCGGCCTGCGACGGGCCCGAGGGCTTCTTCTCCTCCTTCTTGCTCGCCTTCGACGCCTTGCCATAGCGCGGCGGCGGCATCGTGGGCTAGGGCAGTCTAAGATAACAACCCTCAACCCGGGGACGGTTTGGCAGACCGCAAGGTAAATGTTGGCTGGCTGGCTGGCTCGGTCGCTGGCAGCCACCCATTTCTTCAATGTAGACGTTGCATGTCCAAATCTTGCGATTTTCGCTCGGGAATCATGTCAAAATCTAGTTAGGCGCCCGGAGTGGCCGCCGGGGGTGACGGAAGCGCGAGCGCCGACGCGCGTGGCCGGCGGCCAGCCGGTCGCCGCAGCCGCCCCAGGACGGCGCGGCGCGCCGTAGGCGCGCGTTGTAGAGGTTGTAGCGAGGGGTCGTTTCGTGGACCGGACGTCCCTGGCTGGCTGGCTGGGTCGACCCCGGGCGGCTGGCTGCTTTTTTCGCCTGCCCTTGTCGTGGGCAGCCCGCAGAACTGCAGCGCCGTTCCTGAAGGGCACCATCGGCAAGTTCAAGGTGCCTACAAAATCTCTCGAGCAGCTCACGCTCGCGAGAAGGGCTCCCCAGTTGCGCACCGCTTTCAAAACCGGGCGTCTCTCGCTGCCCCGCGCGCGACACGAGAGGGGACATGGCGTCGGGGAGCGACGCGATCCTGCCGCCGGCGCCGCCGGGCGGGAAGGACGAGGCCCTCGCGGGGCCCGACGCGCCGCCGGCGCCGCCGGCGCCGCCGGCGGCCGGCGGCAGCCCCGACGCGGCCCAGGACGAGGCCGAGGACCAGGAGGCGGACATCGAGAAGGTCTACCGCTTCCGGGACGCCATCATGAAGGGCGCCGAGGGCCTCGGCGTCGAGACCAAGGGCGACCTCCTCTCCCTGTTCCTCGCGCGGGGCGTCGCCTGCGCGGCGCCGGACGCGCCGGCCAAGGTCGTGCCGCGGCCGCACTTCGACGACCTGCTCGGCGAGCTCGGCATCGACGCGTCCGAGGGAAGTGTGACGTGGATCGCGTCCCACTTCGCCGTGCCCGACGCCGTTTCGGCCGACGACGCG